GCACATAGGACAAGTCAGGACACAGCTACACCAGGTCAGGATTTGTTCTACTTGAAAACTATTTGAGGCCAGAATGAGCCCAGAGTCAGAACAGCCAGACTATGCTAGCACGACTGCATGGCATTGCACGTACAAGGTTCCCACCATTTTCTGGACATGGGAAGACTTTTTCTTCCCGTGCTTGTTACAAACACTACTCAGCCTTTCCCTCCCTGCATGTGCGCACATGCATACTTTAACAAAACATGTTTCCAAGTCGTCCATTTTCTTTATTTCCTGCATGTTATCCCCCTGACTGTTCCTACAGTGCCAGCCCATGCAGGAATGTGAAGGCCTGCCAGCACTCCAAGTTCAGATTCTCTCCAGATCTCATTTCCTCCTTTACTCTCCTCTGGCTGAGGAAACAGAAATGCATATGGAAATAAGCTTACTTGTGACTCAATTATCTTCTTAGGAGTCAGTGACTCCTGTTCTCCCTGTCTTCTCTCCTTCAGCTGTTGCTGTTCTTCCTCCTCCTCCTCTTCCTCCTCTTCCTCTTCATCCTCCTCCTCCTCCTCATCTTCATCCTCCTCCTCCCCTTCATCATCACTAAGGTTTGAGAGTTACATGTTGCATTAATTCCTGTACACTGGAACTCAAAAACATTTTTTCAAGAACAAAAAACCAGCTTCCCCTCCAGTCTTACTGCAAGAATTACAACTCCATCTACAACAGATGAAGAGGACACTCAGGCTTCAGTCACCCAGTTGACAAAGTGCAAGGAATGCAATCGATAACTATGACTAAGGTAAATCCATGGATGAAAACAAGACACAAGGCTTATCCTGCTTATGAAATCCCTTGACTGTGCTCCACCCTACACACTCAGATCAATATCCACCTGCAATGTTACAGTTCTTATTTTAAAACAGATAGGTGAATGAAAGTGTCGATGAAAATGGTCAGAAAATTTCTGATTTAAACTCTGGTATTCTGCCTACCTCAAAGATCCCAGCACAGCTGCCATATTGAAGCCTTCAAGGATCTCCTGGAGTTGCTCACATCCCTCTTCTCCCAGACAGTTGCCTAGGTTGACAGAAGAAAGGGAGTAGACTTAACAGATGCACACAAGTTTATTCTTGAGGATTTAGCTGTATATTCTTGTCTATCTCTTATTCCCGAAACTGAACAGTTATCAATCACTTCTACATTAACACCTTAGAGGCAGGAATGCAGACCTCAGTTATCAGAATCAAATAGTTGTTAAACAAATCTTAGCAGCATTACACAATGGCTGGAGACAAACCAACTCCCTAATTTTTCAGGGTGTCTTTGAGCGACTTCCTGCTAGTTCTATAAACAGCTCCTGTTCTCAGTGATTCTAAAACAAGGACGCATGGCACAGCACCACTGAAATGCAGTGACTCAAGGTATGAATGGCAAAAGCCAACAGCGGTCAAAGTTCTCCCACTCTTCTGCAGAGATGCACACAGAGGTTTTTTTGTTCACAAGTATGAAATATCTGAAAGTTTTCCTGCAAACAGGTATAGGTATCAGTTTAACCTTTCCACCTTATGAGATGTACCAAAACTGCTTAACTTTAACAATTACTGAGTTCATGGCCTAAGAAAACTTTGAGGATCTAACTGCTTCCTGTCCCAAGGTCATCCAAGTTCAGCTACTCTGAAAGTACCATTTTTTAAATGCTGACAATTGCAAGACTAGAATATGTGATACCGTCAACATTTTTCCTAGTGGTTTCTCGTTGGGATCAGACTAGATATACTTTCATCTAGCAAACTTACATACCATTGAGATCCAACTTCTCCAACTCTGCCTTATCTTCAATAGCTTCAGCAACAGTCAGAGCAGCATCTCGTTTGATCTCACAGAAGGACAAATTCAGTTCCTAAGCAGAAGAACATGTATTTGCAGAATTCCTATTAACATCTATCATCCTCATAAGCTTCATATGCTCACAAGTGTTCTGGGAAAACTCTCATTTGAAGAGGCTCTTAGCAAAAAAAAAAAAAAAAGTATTTCTAATAGGAAATAAAACCTGACACATACTTCATAGACCTAAAAGGGGCATTTTGAAGCATACTATTGTTAAGAGCAGCACTACTGAAGGTAACCACTTCACTAAAACAGCCACAGAGACCACATCATTCTGATGGCTCACCTAAAACGTAGCAGACATTTCAGTCCTTAGCAATCAGTTGACCGGAGATCTTCACTTACTCAAGGGGCACAAGAGCATTCCAGAATCCCCACACCAGTCAGTCTTACTGAAGAAGGGTAGCTACTGCACTAAATGGACTGCATGTTTGCTTTTGAACACTTTGGTTGCAAGTTAAGGCCTTCAAAAGTCAAATTACGAGTGGTACTACTTCTGATAAACACAACCAGCAGAGAAACAGTGTGGCCAGACACACTGAGTAAAGTTATTCAACAGCCAGGCACCATCTCCCACCATTCCACACTGCGCTCAATCAATCCTTTCCCGAGAAGAGATTTAATATTAACACAAAAGGGAAGCAGTCCTTGAACAGAATTAATCGGTTACGATTGCTTCATGCTACCCTCCCTTAGCCACTTCTGCTCTATAAAAAAAGAAGGATTTAACCTCTGGCTGTTCATCTCAATACCCCCATTAGAATCTTTTGCTGGGAGATTCAGACAGAAGTTCCAGTAGAACCAGCAGAAGCCTGAGCAAGAGATCTCACACCACAAAGCACCTACTTCTTTCTGTACCAGGTTCAAATACTTAAATAAATATTAGCACTCAGTTGAATTTTTGTCTTTGACTATAAGCTTCCAAGATTAGGAATTACGTGTTCAGCATCTGTCCCGGTGCAGTTGTGACCCATGGAAGATGTTTCTAGAGATCCTGGTTTACTTACTTTACTGACTGGACTTAAGCCTGTCTAGAATGTTGTCAAATGCAAGTCCTGTGCAAATACTGATGTAGGAGGCTGTGGTATTGCAAAAAACTAAAAATATTTGGACCTTTGACACATGCCCTAACAAAGAAAAAGCATTAACTATATGAACTCTGAAACGCTGAAGAGATTACAAGCTGTGCATGAAGAGGAATGTCTCAGTTCCTGCTCATGACCCTCTGAGAAGTTCTAAAAGCAGATACTTCCATTATCAATTTCTTGAATAGCATTTGCTGAGTTGAACCAACAGCTTCAAAAACATCAAGCAGAGTCTAAACAGATCCCTGGTACACCTCCCCATAGAATAGTCTTAGCTGGATGTGGCGATGCCACTGATAAACAATACAGCTTATTGCTTTCGAGTTGTGAGCACAGAGCCTGCACTGAAGTGAATCCCACTCTCAAATAATCAGTAGTGGTAGGAGAATGGGCAGAAAAACACAAAATAGGAAACTAGGCATTTTCAAGAGAATCAAAGCTGAACAGCAAGAAGACAATACCTTTAATTTATGAAGCCCTTCTTTAACAGCATCAGCAATAGCAACAGCGCCCTTTGAACGCACCAAGCAGTCTCCAAAGTTGATCACTTCAATCTGCCGAAGTGCCTTCAGAGTCTGCAAGACAGCACAAATATGAAAGTACAGACATGGAAGCAAATTAATATCCTACTGCTTCTGGAAGGTCATCTTTCCCATCGCGAAAGATGGGGGGGGAGTGTGGCATGTGGCTCCACCAACCCAGAGGTACTGATGCTAACTATATTTGAGGAGATCGGGAGGCAGAAGACAAACCCAAAGCAACCGCTCAGAATAACTCACCTCTGCCATGGCCACAGCTCCTTTCTCTGTGAAGGTGTTGTCATTCAAGTTTATAACCTTAAGCAGTGGGTTGATAGCAAAGGCCTGGGCCAGTGCCGTAATGCCAGGATGGTTAATTCCATTCTGTGGCATATGGACCTCTTCTAGAGTCCCAATGATCTGGGAGAGGATGCAGATGAAAAAAAAGCTGTTAGGAGTCATACTTCAACTCAAGAGCGTGCTGTTCCACTCTTTAGTATTTGCTTAAAATTGTTTTCCTCCAACTCAAAACTCCATTAGTTCTTCTACATAGAATTATTTACCAGCAATTATGTCACCAATCTAAGTCAAATTGCAGACTCATGGCAAGTGTCAGATTAACACAAAGCCCTGATTCTAAGAGTCACAAGTAGCATCCTCCTAGCGCGCCTGCTCTAGATGCCTTAAAACAAGAGTTCCTCACCTGTGGTTCAACAACACTGAAACAGACCAAGCAACATCACCGGATACAGTATTTTTCTAATTAAGATCTACATTTTGCTCTGACTGCAGAAGCAAACCCGTAAGAAAATTAGTATGAACACTGTTTATGGACTAAACAACCTGTCACAAAACACAGTAATGAATCCCATTTTGGTAGCACCAGTCTGAATTCCTCATGAATCACTTTGTTATACACCTCTCAAGTATTTAAGTCTTATTTTTGCCACGATTACTGATTAGTCAAAATCACATCCAGACAGCTCTTTACAAAATGAGCAACCTATAACCTGTAATATCATTGTTAATATAACTGACAACATGCACTATAATTCAAAAGTCACTTTTAGCAGCAATGGAGGAAAGAAAAGGGAATTAGGTGGCCCCAACCACAATGAATTCTCTTCCTCCAACAAAAGTGCAAGTTGGCCAGTGACAACTAGAGAAGGCTAGGCAGCATTTAGAGCCCTCACTGGATAAACCTAGTGAAAGCACTAAGTTGCTTTTGCCAGATGATTGAACAACTAGGCAAAGAAGCACTCCAGAGGTCAGCTGGTACATGTACCTCAGTGCCAGACAACCTCCATTAGCACAGAGGGAGGAGAAGGAATAGGACTACTATTAAATCACTCAGGAGACACCTATTTCTCCCTCAAGTAACTACTTTACACAGCCACTAGTTATGCATTTGGAAACTTGGGTCACAGAAACAGTCAGTCATCAATTCTAATTGCACTTGTTGAAGACTCCAGTTTCAGCAGTAAACAAGATCGTGACTTTAGTGAACCAACCACCAGCCCCTGCTGCCAAGCTGAGGCAAGCTCTGTATGCGTTATCTTTAACACCAGCACTTAAGCACACCTTGCTGCAATTTGCTGTCAAGAAGCTCTGGTTTGGTACTCACCCCAAAGGCTTCAGCCAGGGCAGTGGCACCATCATTCTCCAGACGATTTCTGCCAGCCACAAATATTTTCAAAGCAAGAGGCTTGCCCTGGGCGCTTGATTTCCTGTGAAGGCAGCTGCCAATATCTGGAGATAAAATAAGCAGTTTATACTACCTCAGCAACTCATTCTGAAGGAATCCAAATGTGTTTTGTATATCCAGCTCTCAAGGAATACTTCGGTCACCACTGACATGTACCTGCTTCTACAGTAGGGTATACAATAAAATCATGTGTAACTACAACACTTGCACATGCAGTCTTAGGCAAGAAGTGATCATTTTGCAACACTAGAACACATTGACCCCATTAAGAACGTTTGATTCTTAAACAGGCAAACATATCGGGCCGTAGTGATAACCACAGTTAGTCTCAGTTTGCTGCTTCATCCAACAGGCATCCCTTCGGTGCTAGGCTTGGTAATACTGTTCTCTCAAATCCAACACCACCAGCTCTTGACGTGGAATGTAATGTTTAGGATAGAACTGTTTTCCTATCCTGGAAATACAGATGAGCTTTTCGTAGTTCAGAAATTTATCCATGAAAACATGTAGAGGGAAGGGATCTTGAGACTAGAGAAATAGGCCATCAAGAATCTCATTAAGTTTAAAGGGAAATGCGAAGTCTTGCAAATGGGGAGGAATAACCCCATGTACCAGCATAAGCTGGGAGTCAACTAGGGACAAAATAGCTCAGCAGAGAAGAGCCTGGGGGTCCTAGGGAGTCAACTAGGGACAAAATAGCTCAGCAGAGAAGAGCCTGGGGGTCCTAGTGGGTGAGAAGTTGACTATGAGTTAGCAATATGCGCTTGCAGCAAAGGAAGTCTACTGTCCTGCCTTGGGAAAAGCACTGTCAGCATGTCAAGGGAAGGGATCCTTCTCTTCTACTCAGCCCTGTGAAACGCATACGAGTACTGTGTCCAGTTCCAGACTCCTACATGGACATATGTCCTGGTTTTGGCTGGGACAGAGTTAATTTTCTGCTTCGTAGCTGGTACAGTGTGGTTTGGCCTAAGTGTGAGAATAATGTTGACAGCAACTATTAAAACATCAGTGGGTTAAGTAGAGTTTATCCTAAGTTCAGGATTTTTCAGTTTCCCCATGCTCTGCTGCCAAGCAGGTGCACAAGACGCTGGGAGGGAGCACAGCCAGGACAGCTGACCTGAACTAGCCAGAGGGATATTCCATACCATAGCATGGCATGTCCAGTATAGAAACTGGGGGGAGTTGGCCAAGAGGCACAGATTGCTGCTTGGGCATTGGTCAGCGGGTGGTGAGCTATTGCATTGTGCATCGCTTGCCTTTTCTTGGTGGTTGTTTTTTTGGTCATATTCCTTTTCATTACTATTTTGTTAGTATTATATTTTATTTTACTTTAGTTATTAAACTGTTCTTATCTCAACCCACAAGTTTTACTTTTTTTCTGATTCTCCTCCCCATCCCACTGGGAGAAGTGAGCGAGTGGCTGTGCGGTGCTTAGTTGCTGGCTGGGGGTAAACCACGACAACATACTGGGATGAGTCCAGCAAAGGGTCCCAACGATGATTGAGGAACTGGAGAATTTTACTCACTGGGAGAGTGCTGAAAGCTGGGATTATTAAGGCTGGAGAAGAGAAGGCTCTGGGGAAGATCTTATTGATGTGTACGTACAGCCAGAATAACAGGATTGGGGGAGAAGGTGCTGTAAAGAAGGCAGAGCCAGACACAAATACACACAAACCAATGCAGAGAAAATTCCATTGAAACAAAAAAACCCCTTTTCTACTGTAAGGGTTGTTAAACACTGGGACAGACTATCCAGAGAACCTGTGAAGTCTCCATCCTTTGAGATATTCAAAACCTGACTAGACACAGCCCTGAGCAGGGGAGTCGAACCAGACAATCACCAAACATCCCTTCCAACCTCAACCGTTCTGTGATTCTGTGTAGGGCAGCCTGAAGCCAAGTCCTGGCTCTGACCTCATTCCCAAAAAGGAGACAACCCTTACCTTGCCACCACCGATGCCCATGCCACAGTTATTGAGCCTGAGTTCCTGCAGCGTGTAGCACGTGGGGCTCTTCAGCAGTGCCTCAAAGCCACGCACACCATCTGGCCCAAAGGCATTGTCACTCAGGTCCAGCTCCACCAGCTGGGCTCCAGCAGTGACGAGTGCATCCCCCAAAGAGATCTGTAAGGAAACAGATGGCAGAGAGTGGGAGGGAGTGGATTGACTTTTAGTGACAGCATCACTGTAGCGCCTAGGTATGCCAGTGATGCTGCAAAAAAAATTCCACTTTGAAGACATTCAGTAAAGCTGCATGGGGAAATAAAAACTTTACAGCTAAAGCCAGAGAAGAAGTTGTGCAAATCGAGCTAAATCAAACCATAAGGCAGTTACCAAGAAGTTATCACATCCCTCTAGGTCAAGTTTTTCAAAGCGAGTTTCCCCCTCTACATTGCTAAAAGAAATATTATTTTCATTCTGTTGAGTTTATCATGTTTTTCCTTCACAGGACTCAGGGAGGCGGGGAAGTCTGTAATGCTCTTGGAAGAGGTGGCCACATGCTTTAATTTAGAGAGTTTAGTTCCCATTCTGTCAGATTATGAGGATGTCTTCCCCAGTGACAAGCTTCTTCACTAGCATGGACTTCCATTTGGTCTTTTATCAATTCTTCTGCACTTCATACAGACGGAGCAAAAAAGAATCACTCGCCTATTCTGAGACACTTGGTGTTAACAGCATGTAGAAAGATCAGTTCTGTGCTAAACAACATACTCCCACAAAAAGCATGACAGGTGAGAAAAGAAGTTATATTAGTCAGAAGTCTCAGATCTAGTTTTTACTTACCAAAGCAGGAGGGATCTCAGACCTTAGTCTCCCTGTGAACATGTCACTCCAATGACACCTCTAAAATAAGAAACATACAGATAGAAACCATTAAAATATTTAGGACAACACAGCTGTACAGAGGTTTACACATACAAGCTGCATTATGTCACTGGGGACATCTTAATACTGTCTGCCTTCCCTCGGGCTTGTCATTTGATTGTACTAAAGAGCTACAAGAACTAATGTTACAATTACTTCACTTGCAAGGACATAAAGCCACTGAAGTGCACCTTGTAAATAACACTATACAAGAATTCTTGCTTGCATTCAAGCTGGAATTCTTTTCTGCTGAGAAAATTACCACAGGAAAACGCAGCAGGAAACTGAAGGATACATTAGGAATGTAGATTTTACTAAGGTATGGAGCTCAACAATCTGAACTTGCTTGAAAAGCCAAAATTGGGTGATTAACATGACTCAATGTTTCATATTCCTCTCTGCAAAGGACAGTGCCTCTAGCAGCACAGCATCCTCCTAATATTAGGCTAGAACAATAGTAGGGAAACACAGCTTGGGCACAGAAAAACCTCCTGGTGCATTTCCTCCATTATTTCTTCCCTATTCAGGCATTCTCTGAAGACTCGTTCTTCAGAAGATCTGATCATTCTCCAGAAGATATGACCCAGCTTTTCCATTAGAACTTAAGTTTTGTTGCCACGGTTCCTTGTTTACAGATGCTGCCTCCGCAGAGAGGCTCTTCCTTGCACAGCGTCCCAGCTTTAAGATCGGGACCCTTCTGAACAGGAACAATCAGGAATGCAGAAAGGGTTCCCATCGTCCCAAAGTCCCCAAGTTCTGCCATATTTTCATATGGGTTGTTCTTCCGACTGGAAGAACCACCAAGCAAGCTCTGGGGCTAACTCAAGGCAGACTACTGCAGGAAAAGCATAGACAGGCCTTCGGTATTTCCACATTATTTCTTCCCCTTCACCACCCCCTACTTGAAGATCTCACCTTGAGCTCCGATTTCTTCTCCAAGGCTTTGGCAATGACCTTTGCGGCCTCCACACCCACTGTGTTGCCTTCCAGGCACAATGCTTCCAGGCCATCAAATTCTTCAATTTGTTTGATCACTTCTTCAGCTGCAAAAAGCAGATGGTCTATTTGGCCTTTTAACTAACATCTTAGGTACCACAGTAACACTCTGATGCAGCAATACCTGTTCAACTCTACCCTTAGCAAAAACAGCTGAACATTACCTGAAAGAATCCTGAAACAGCAATGGGAACAGAGCTAAAGTGTCAGGTCACTAGAGAATGTTATCCATTCCCCACCCTGCCTTTTCATAACTTATTTCTAGTTCTATTCTCTGATAGTCATCCTCCTAATTGCAAGAGTAAGTTTCCTGACTTCGTAAGTAAGATTCCTCTGCCATTCAGCACACGGTCTAGGAGCTAGAGTGCACGCGCCTGCAAAGATGCAAGGACTAAGCTAAAAGTTGATGGGAACTGGTGCCACATCAACAGGAAGAAGTTCCCACTGACTGGCAAAAGTAGATGCCTGTTTAGCAAACATGTCAGGGCAGAAGAATTTAACTCTAAAGTAATCCTACGCAAGACACAGGAGCAGGCTGCAGACTCTCTCCTGTCAATGGGCACTTGTTATCATTCCTAAGCGCCAAAGCCTTTCCCCATAGCTCAGTGACTTTGCACTACTAAAACAGCACATAAAAAAGCATCACCTTTGGAATCAGTAAAAAAGGTACACACTATAGCAAATAACCTCTCCGAAGAACATGCTGTTTCTCGGTGTGGCAGAAATGTTGATCTAAGAACACATACACGTTCTCCAGATATTTACTACATCAGCAGCCACTGCAAGACATTTTTAATTGGGAAACACACATACACCAGCAAGAGAGATATTCCAGGAAAAAACAAACAAGGGTCTAACAAATTGGTCAGAATTTGGGAAGAAACTGGACTATTGTGGCAGACTAACATATCAGCCCATTCCTCTGTGCAGGTCGTTGAAGCATTGTACTTGTTCCAAGAGCCGTTGTCCACTTGCTTACTGTTTTTAAAAGGAGCGCTGACTTCTTATGCACGGTAACTGTCAACAGAACTTGGAGAGAACAGCGAGAAAACAAGAATGACACACCAGGGAGCCAAACCTCAATTCTGCCAGCTGTAGCACTGCCAGGACACCAGGTCAAAGCAGGGTACAAGAAGGGAAGGAAACGTCTCTGTCAGAAGCAGCTGTAGCTGAAGGACCCTTGCATCACAGGTAATACTACGACAACTTGTCCATGCAGGATTAGCAGGAGGTTTACCACAAGACTTTAGAATTTCAGGGAGACACTTTCCAAACACAAGGTTATTTTCTCTTACCATCTTCAGCTGTATTGAGTTTAAGGCTCTGGCCTTTGAAGCTCAACTGTCCGCCACCCACTTTGGTTTTGGCAAGTGACTCTGCAAGCTTAGTGATGTCTTCTGATGCCATTTTTCCGCTTTTCCAAATGTTAAGAGCTGTCAATTAAAAGAAATTGTCAACATAAGAAAAAAATCAAACTGCAATACATAATCTGTATGAATAATCATATTTACTTGAACACTAATGCGTTTTTTGTTCCCGAGATAATCTAATCGAGTTTTCATTGTCATTAGCATTTTCCCCATAGCTCACTTATGACAGCCAGGCTAGATTAATATTCCAAAGCCAATCAGTCAGATGGTGTGGATCGTTCCAATACTGACGAGACTTGGGTTTTGATGGAGTTGTTGCACTTCATAAAAAACAGTAGCTAAAACTAGGGATTAAGGCTGCATTAAGACATTACTCTTTGTGCAACACTTTTACAATTAAAACCTAACATTATTCTCTCCCCAAACGCCATCCTTTAATTATACATGCTGCATATTTCCCTTGTTCTCCAAAGCAAGCTAGAATGAACACAACTGTTTTTCCTTTTCAGTGATATCCCCAGTAGTGCCCTTGTCAGCACAGTTCTCGAACCACCGAGTTGCTGAAAACATCATGTGTGCTGCAGACAAAACTCTCTCTCAGGTTTGTGGGTTCTCTTTCCTTTCGGATGTCCCACACAGATTCATCACGCACATTAAACAGGGTGATCTTACACTGATGATAGATTAGCAGACATTTTGCCTTGAGGTACAAATTTGAAGCTAGCCATGCCTAGCAGTATCTGCATAGCATTATTGAATGAGTATCACTCACTGCGTGAAGTAACTGGCCTCCATTCACTCAGCAGAATAAACAGAGCATGTTTCTTATCCCAGCCCCTCCACTGGGATAAAAGACTACACACAACTACTGCTTAGAAGCAACATACTTGTAAAACAGACTTCAGGTGCCAGAAGGGACGAAGGTTCATTCCTACAACAGAAAATTGGTTCCCTTCCACTCTTCTCTGACTTAGAAATGGCCCCACACTCTCGCAGCTCTTTGAGCTCAACAGCACTCGTTTCAAAACACCCCCTAAACGAAAGCTGTGTATACATACTTTCCTCCCGACACCTAGCCATAAAGCCTTCAGCTTCCCCAGAGTACCGCTTCTCTTCAGCTTTCATTAACTTTCGTGTTGCTTTTGGACACAAGAGGGGAAAAAAAAATAATCTCCAAGGCTGATCAACATCCCTTTTCTAGGATGACTGTCCTCTCAAGTAGGTAGAGAGATGCTCAGTAGAGAGATGCTCACATAACTTCACTCCTACCCGGCCAGACAGACACCAGACTGATGGACATTCCCAACCTCTGCCAAGCCAACACTGAGACGGAAGAAAGAGGGGATGCCCTCCAACTCACGAAGGCTTTACCAGACAGGAAAAAAAGTTAGAATCCAAACCACTCAGTTCATTCACCTAGTTCAACTACCAACTTTACTTTTAAATACCTCATCACTCTACTGTTTAAAAAATGAATTCTGTTCCGCTACGATGCTCTCCTATACTCTACAGGTGCACTCCGTTTG